TCCCCTTGATATTCAAATCCCAAGCCGGAAGCCGCGGCTCCCGCCTTTCTGCCATGTCCAAAGCCCTATCTCAAAGCTCTGAGAGGACAGGAAGGGCCTCAAGGAGAGAGCACTCCAAGTCCCTCTGGGCCTTTGGTGTTAAATGCCAGGACAAGATTCAAGGCTGATTGAAGATGGTCAGCAGTAAATCGCAGGATGCTAGCTCGTTGCTTGTGATGAGGAAGAGCATGTCACGCGAATGTATGCGAGGCCAACTCAAGGGGAAAAACACAAAAGCTCCAGCATCATGCAAGCGAAAAGGTTGGATGTGCGCAAGGGAAAACCCTGAGCTCCGTGCCGCATGCGCTTCATGTTCGGGTCAGCGCCGTGCGCCCTACGGGCAAAAAATCACGCAAGCGGTTGTCCGATCCCAAGCTTATTAGACTCTGCACTGCTTGGATGCAGCTTTTGCGGATTCGACTCGTTCTTCTGCGATTGGACCCCTTTTAGTACACTCTAGTACTATGTATGACTAGTTCAATATCCTACAGGGCAGCCACAAATGCCGCATCCAAACCGTCTCCTGGGCCTGGAGGGGACTCATCCCCACCTCCCCAAAACGAGTCCACTGGCACAAAGCAGGAAAAAGAAGTCAAGCATACCAGCATTTCACGTGACAGTGCAAAGAAGCTACAGCACCAAAGAACGGCTATGTGGCTATGGCTCTTAAATGGGAGCCACCTCAAAAGAGGTTGGTGGTCATGAATCCCCACCTAAACGATGTCCACCACAGGATCCAACTAAAATTCATGACAGAAAAGAACGCAAACCAAGAAGGCAACACATGGATCGGAATCGCCCAAAAAACACACGGATCATGATGAATAAGCGTGCGAGTGTGTCACCCTCCATCTCTTCTCAGTCAATGGTACGACACCAAGCACTGATGCAGCGTCTATCAACGCACCAGCTGAAAGACACTTCACTATCTGTCTTGCTTTCATCTGCTGAAGGAAGAGTTGCGAAACTGCAGTTGGCCACACCGCAGTGTGGCCGCCTACTCGTTCGAACTTCGGGCGCACGGATGATCCATACTTAATTGAGCCATTCCTCTACGAGAAAAACAACAAAAAAAAAACGAATACAACCGCTACTGAAGCCTTTCCCCTGGGAGCAAGAACCAAACAACAACAGCTCATTTTGGCACCTCCCGTCGCGATTCGCAGCAGCCGCCTGCTGTCCTCATCCGACTCGAAGGAGGCATAGAGGACGAGGCACAGCCCGCCAGCAACTGAAGCACCGGGAGGGGGGAGAAATCTGTGGATTCGCTGAACGAGAAGGGGTCGGTCCAAAGGACACGAAACTCATCGTCCCTTCCAAAGTGCCCATTCTGTGTGCAAGAAGTCCTAACCTGAGTCAGGGAGGATGGGGCCCAGTCTCCCTGGCAATTTGAGAGACTCCCCAGATTCAACACACGGCTGCAAAACGCAACACGACTATTTCGCCCTGAGGACGAGAAAATATCTGACTATCAAACGTGGCCAGGAAAATCGAAGGAAAATCGAAGGAAAATCGAAGGAAGCCCCATCCGGCCGTCCCCGGCCAACGGTTCCGAGGCTCCCGCGGCAAAGTGGAAGCAACAGGTTGCAGTAGCTTGTCCTGCTTGGGGACTGTGCTCGACCAGACAAACTGGCTTTCTGACAGAAAGTCTCCGGTCCTTTCAGCTTTGGATTCGCGCCCCGGCTTGCAGGCCCCTGCTTCACATGCTTCTTTTTTGCGGCACGTGGAACTGGCGCTCCTCTGTTGCCGCGGGTAGGCTTCGAACCTAGGTGCCAAAATGCTTGTGGCTTACACTGTTTGGGGGGGGGAGAGGCGAGATTTGTGTCAATCTGACACAAGTGGCACCAATCAGAATGTGTCAAAACTCGGGACCCCTTGGACGGTTTGTAAGGAAAACGCGGCTGCCATCAAGCCAAAGAATGGCCCAATACATTCAGGTATGTAAGGCATCCACGGCATGAGCAAAGCAGCAGCCTTTTCAACCACATTGTAGCTTCAAGATCTACAAACCCAACCTGATGCAGAAGCTTCGCACTTGTTCATCATCGGATCGTGACCGCAAAATCTGATGATTGCAAAGTGTACGTCGATAGAGTGTTGTGTTGAAACATCGCCAAGCGATCCCGTCACAAGTCCAAGCAGCTTCATTACTGAGCCGACCGCTGATCCCGCATGGGATTGGTAACCATTGGTTGGCCGACTCAAATGAAACCGGCGAGAAAATATAATGAAACTAACAACTGCCCTTCGATTCGTGTGACTCCTGCAATAGTGGAGCTTGGCCCGGGAGGCTGATTCGCTGGCAACCTCCGATCAGGCTGATTCGCTTGCTGCTAAAAACAACAAAAGACAAGGCGCAAGGGCCATCCAGGCCATCCTGGATCCATCCATCCAATCCAATCTAACGTGTTGAAGCTTGAGGCCCCAGCATAGTCTCAGCCCAATTTGATGGCCAGACTCAACCCGAAATAGCGCGTGAGTACAACTTCAATAACACATTCCTGTGCTCGTGTTTACCCCAACTTCAACTTTGGAGGCAGCAGCAAGCAAGCAAGCAAGCAAGCAAGCAAGCAAGCAAGCAAGCAAGCAAGCAAGCAAGCAAGCAAGCAAGCAAGCAAGCAAGCAAGCAAGCAAGCAAGCAAGCAAGCAAGCAAGCAAGCAAGCAGCAAACAACCATTTGTAAATTAACCCGTGTAAACATGGTTGGTCATGCAAATGTCCTAACTATTCACACAAACAAACCACAACTATTCACAAACCAAAAACCGGAAAAGAAAAGAAAAAAAGAAAAGAAAAAAGAGATGAAGAAAAAACGCTGGGCAACCAAAAACCCAAAAACCAGAAACCCAACCCCCCGGCCAAGCACCTGCTCTCCGCGAATGGGATCCCCGGCATGGGATTCCCGGGCGCAAGGCCCAGGAGCCGGGGCCGGAAACGCCTCACGACGGCCGCCCAAACCCCGCGGTCCCTTTGGGCCGTGGTCAAAACCGTCTTGGGATCCCATGCTGGGAGAGGCGAATTCGCCACCCATGCTGGGCTCCTTTTTAGTGGATTGAATCGGATGTTCACTGGGGGTACGGGCTTTGGATTTTGACCCTGGCCGTATGGGTCTATTCAGCTTCCCCTTAATGTGGCTTGTTTGTGTGAATAGTTATGCAACTTGCATGAACAACCATGTTTACACGGGTTAATTTACACATGGTTGTTTTCAGCTTCCCCCCAATTGGCGGATTGGATTCGTTTGGGATTTGAACCCCTGGCTCTTGTCGAGGGTAAATGGGAAACCACTCACCACCACCCCAACCCACCAATTGGAGGGAAGCTGATCCATCTTTTTTGAGCCTATTTGCTTGCTGGCTTTAAAGAGAAACCTAAAGGACCACCACATTTTTGGGTGTCCAAGGTCCAGTAAACATGGGTTGGAAAGCCACGATGATATCTTCCACATTGGTAAAGTTCGCCTTGGTCATTTGGGGGCCGGATGGTGACCACAAATGTTTGACCCATACCCAGATTGGTCTATGGGCAACCCACAGGAAAGCTACGATTTTGGCCTCCCCCCCTCCCCATTTTGACACACCCCCCAGCTGTTCACTGCGCAGACGCCAAAGGAACCGGCCAGAGGAAAAGAAAGACGCATTTGGCCTGGATCCGCCTCTTCCTGTTGGGCTCTCTGGAAGCCAAACTTGGCCGAGTCAGTGCATCACCAAAAGTGCGAGCCTACGATTCAGACGGGAACTTGCCCCCCTTCCATACCTCGATGCAAGCCTAAGCTTTCAAGTCAGATGCTTGAGAAAAAGAACTCCAAGTTCCGGAACAAATGAAATGGATGCTCCTTCTGGCTTTCTCCAAATGGTTGTGGGTCAAAAATAGGTACCCAAATGGAACTCTGGTAAATGGACCCAAGGACCAATTCCTGCGGTCCATATCCTTGTGGTTTAATTTTGACCCATACCCACATGAGTCGCAAATTCGGGTAAGTGAAGGGTTAGTCAGGAAGAGCCTGCTTCATTCTTTACATGGTTCTGGGTCGCGCATCTTTTTTCCAGGTTTTGATTGTGGGCCTTCCTTTACTCCACAGCCCAGACCCTCCCTCCCACTGGCCCTTCGAGGCCGTTCGCCAAAACGACTCCGGCCTCCGGCGTCAAAACCTCAGCCGCGACGCGAAGGGAAACCAGAAATGCCTTGGACTCCTTAACATGAGCATCTTTTTCAGGGAAACCCCTCCCAAGAAAAGAAAAAGGACAATTGCCAGAAAAGAATGGGAACTGAGAAAAAACATGGGAATTGACTGGAAAAGAGTTTGCTTTGGGAATCTCTTGCAAAGCCAGAAAAAAGGTAGCAAAAGCAATGACTCACTCAAAGTTTGGTCCCCGTTGGGATCCATAAAAGTTGAAAAACCCCCATGCATCACAAACAACCCTTCGGTTCATAGAGTGCGAGCGAGAGAGAGAGAGAGAGAGAGAGAGAGAGAGAGAGAGAGAGAGAGAGAGAGAGAGAGAGGTGTTGAAAGAGATGTCGTGTCGTCCACCAGGTGTCAGTGTCCGGGCTTCTTTGACAAGAGGCAAGATGTTTTTAAAGGATAAGCTGCGAGTGAATTGTGCCACGACCTATTCCAATGATGGCGCTGCTTGAAAACGACCGCCGCACAAACCAATGGAACAAAACCTCCATCTGGCTGAGGGTCAATAATAGGTACCCAAAATGGAACCCCTGCTAAGTGGCAACATGGACCAAAACCTGTGGGGTTTAATTTTGACCCACACCCATCTGGCATCTGGGTCTCGGGCCTCTCCCGCATTGCTGGTGAATGGCAGGGACGCGGAGGCTATCACTTCCAGAGCCAGCCGGCAGCATGGCATGAGAAACAATCGCAACAAACAGCTTATGTCTGGGCGCAAGCATCCTCAGATTCCCATTCTCAAGGAACTGGACTTTGTCACGGTATGCCCTAGTTTGTTGACGCGCCATTTTCGGAGGTCTCCTTTTGCTCCCGTTTGCCCTCAATCTGCATGATCTGGTCTCCAAGCATGAGACCGGCAGTTCAAGGCTGATCCCGTTGGCGAAGATGGGGTCTGATTAGAAGCAAATGGCTCGAACTTGCCCTTCTTGCGGCTTGCGAATGAAGGCAAAGGTCAGCTGGTAGCTCAATGTTGCAATCTGTTTCAAGTCGGCTTCGCGCAAAGACCTGCCGGAGATGTCAACCATCGATGTCTCGAGTCAGGAAGCACTATGCCACCTCCAGGTTTGAGCTTCAAATCATGCGCCACCAACACAGGATTTGCCACATGCTCCAGCTTGTGCAAGCTCCCATTCCAGTCCAACTCTGCAGCCTCTGGCAGATTCTTTTGACCTGCTGGCAAGGACTTGCCAAAGGCCTCGGTTGAGCTATGCGCCTCAGTGTACCAGGAATCGCGCGACCATACGCGCCAATAATTGACACCATTGAGCTGACTCAATTGCTCCCTGGGCAAAGCCGCCGCTGGAAAAATTGCTGCTTCCTCTTCTGCGCTCCGTGGATCACCTACGACACATGGCAGCAAGGCGGCTGTCCAATCTCCAAGACTATCCTCTCGTCGCTCATCTGGCAGAACCCAGACCTACGGGCTCCAAGCGCCGGCTTTCGCAGCCACGATGGGATCTGCTATAAGGGTGCTGTGTTTTTTCTTTCCGGAGGCAGAGGCGGCACGCCGCGAAACTGCTGCCGGCGATCGGTAAAGTGCCTGCCTAGTCGCTTCCGTATTTTGCTCTGTTTCAACTGGGCAATCCAGGGGCTGGCATCGTTCGCAATTGTAGACCATGGCTCCAAGATCCCGTCACAACACAACAGCATGTCCGCACATAGACTCCACTCAGGTCGATGCGGTGCAGTATTGGTAGGTAAGCAGGTGAGCAGGGATGGCATCCTGGCATCCCTTGCTTCTTGTCAACAAGAAGCCCTCCCTTGGCCAGTCACTCGTGGGACCTTGGGCTTACTCGGGCAGGGTGATGTGGGTGAGACTGACGCACAGCTGGTTGCCGCAGCTCATCCGAAAGGGCTCCTTGGGCAGTGTGGACAGGCGCGCAAAAGCCTCGTCCTCCACGAACAAAGCGGCCAGCAGTCGGTTCACGTATGTTGGGGACGAGGACTCGGGGGTGATGTACAGGAAGGCCTCCGACTCCGAAGACTCCCCGCGCCAGAGCACGTGGTCCTCGCCCTCCAAGGGATCCGTCCCTGCGTCGGTATTGCGCGCCAGACTCGCAAGCACTGCCTCCAGCTCCTCCACGGACGGAAAGAAGCCGAAGGCGCGCTCGTGCAAGAACTCCTTCCAGCTTTCCACCACACCTTTCACCTCTTCCTCCGTCCTCCGGAACCGAGTCTCCGACTCCTCCGCCGTGTGCTCCGCGCGCGCCGCGGATGCCTTCGCCTCGGGCGCCGCGCTGGCGGATGCCTCCGCCTCCGGCAGCTCCTCGCCGAAGGACTCCCTCAGCCGCGCCTGCACCAGGCGCAGCTTCTGCAGCTGGCTCAGCAGCTGGAAGCGCTGCTCCGAGCAGTCCTGGTGCTTTTTGAGGGCCGAACCGAACCAGGCGGGTTTTTGCGGGCTGTGTTGAGGGGCCATGTTTGGTGTGGAGCTGAACAAAAAAGGCGGCAAACCAAGCGGGGGGAGGGCGGGGTTTTGGAGTTGCCATTGCTTTTTGGGTTTCGGTTCAAAGAGAAAGCAAAAGGAAACCGAATGGTGGGGGGGTCATGTGAGATCAACCCAAGGTAAGATACGAAACCGAAACGGCAATAAAAGACAACGTTTTGGGGGAGTATTTTAAAGGGACACTGAAAGCAAACTACCACAAGGGGTTGTCCCAATGGACATTGGGAGATGCACTCTTCGGAGACAGGGATCATCTTTGCCCACGTCTTTGCCCCACTCTATTCAAAGCCCTGCACCCGCCAGACCCAAAGAAAACGTGGGAGAAAATGAATTTGGCCTCGCCTGCATCGAAAGCCTCACACCACCCCATGCTATGCCAAAATAGAAAGAAACTAGAATGGGGTAAAGTCAGTGATTCTGCTAGAATAGCCCAAGACGCTTGAAGCAAAGCAATTCTGGCAAGCGTGGCTACGGCGCAATCAAACAGAGCTGTCACTTAGATCAGCTGTGCCCACTAATGTTGGGATGTGCACCTGTGCGAAGGACCCTCCGCGTGCGCGGCATTTTGTACGCAACACTACTGGTGCTGGGCCATGTTCGGGTCGTTCACGGATCGTTCGCGCTAACAGGCGGGCACAAACAATTTGATCCCATCGCAAACACAGGACCCTCATGTTGTCGTCGAACATCCCAAAGGGTTCATCACCATCCCAAGTAGCCCCTAGTACAAGGGTGTCTCGAGTTCAAGACACAAATGCGTCTGGTATTTTCCCGAAGCTGCTGTTCACACCTTTTCAAGCTCTTCACACAAAGAGCCGGCAGAACACGGTACAGTACGTGTCACGGCCCCAAATGGCACGGCCCACCCCACCGCTCCTCCACGAAAACCTCTGGCGGTAGCTTCTCCTGTAGCTTCTCCGCCAACTCCGGCAGCCTGCCCAGCTGCTCCTGCGGGACTGCCGAGGTGGTCGGGTTCATGTGAGCCAGGTATTTTTTCTCGCGAAACATGGGTGAGTCCCCTGGGTTTAGTGAAGAAATGGCAAACGACATGGGAAAAAAAGTGGGTTGCCCCCCCCCAAAAACAAAATATATTCTTTGTGGGAAGTTGGGGTTCGTCCAAACTTACAGTAGACTACCAGGCTTGTGACAATGTTTCTTTTGGGAACCCTTCTCGCACACACACGCAAAGTAACGGGATTCGACCCCTGCACCGCGCAAACCTCCAGGGGTCTTTATAAAGTACTTGCCAGCAAAAAAAATCACATGGAACCAGCTTCACTGCAGGTGTGTGCTATTCAACGGTTTTGATACCCTCTTTGACGAGGGAAAAAAATCCAGTTGACACCGTTGAAATCGGCAACCTCTTGCAACAGGTTACCATTGCAACCCTAGATGTTTAAGCGCGCACACCTCGGTTTCCCCTTGAAATGGTCGCTTCTTACCCAACCGACCAAGCCACAGGGCTCCTCCAGAAACCTGTGGAACTGCAGGGACAGGCGCTGCACCAGCTGCGCTTTCTCCAGGCGAGCTGTGAAGGTGAATACCGACTTCTTCTCCAGACGCACCCAAGGGCTCAGCTCCAGCGAAGCCTCGGACACGAGCTCCTCCTGCGCGGAAGGTGGTGAAAGCCAAGTTCAAATGCCAAGTGCTTTGCTGGGCCCGTTTTCGGATCCCCCGCTAAAAGTGACTGGCTTTTAGTGGGTTAAATGGCAACTAGCACTAAACACTAAAAAGCTAAAAGCTAAGGGGATGGCTGGGAGCCACCAAGCTTGGTATTGCTTGTTTGTTCTACCTAGTGGTTGCATTTGTGCGCCCTTCAACATCAGACTGCTGCATCACCATCATACCACTCGAACAAGATCAGGCCTCCCGAAGACCTGTGGTTTGCCCCATGTTGGTCGGCCTAACGCAGGGAATCCACCCTTCAGATTGTCAGTTTCGATTTTGTTTGGGGAACCTCACTATTTTATCATGATCCAAGTCACCCCCCAAGTGGTGGGCTAAAGGGAAACAACCGAATCCATTTTCTGACTTTGATAACCCCCAGAAAGCCTCCAAATCATGACCCCAGAAAACTCTTGGGTCTCCTCAGCTGGGCCTTGACAAAACAAACCAGCGCCTGCAGCTCGGCCCAGAGGGCCGCCTGCAATGCCTCCTCTGCTGACCTGCGAGCCGAGCTGGAGATCTCCAGCCCTGCCAAAGAGATTTCCTCCAAAGCGCTTTCCCAACTCTTTCTTCTTGGGGCCCTGACACATCAACGGATTCCTCACAATGAAAATGGGAATGTTGGGCAGTCCCCCCTGTGTTTTTGGTGTTGTTTGTTTGCTTTTGGTTGTGTTTCGTTGTTTGTGCTTTTTGTTGTTCTTTTACTTTTCTTTTTTTTGGGGGGGATTTGGGTCGCCCCTCAAACCAATAGTAGGCCGCGCAGGCAAATGATGTTGTCAAAGACTCACGTGGGCAGGTCTTGTTTGAGGGTATCCATTGCGCCATGGGGCGGGGGAGGGGTCCAATTCTAAGACAAGCCATACTAGCAGCGGGAATCTGTTGGGTGGGGATGGATGTTGCAAGCACCTTCAGAAACATCTGCATCTGAAAGTCTTCAAGCGCTTCTATTTGCAGCACGTGTCCAGACCGCTGTGCACCCCAGCTGGCAATTGCAGCTCTGGACTCGCTTCCGTTCCCCACTGCAACCCAAATCAAGCGCTTGTGGCAGTCCCTGCTCTCCCAGGCCCAAAAAAGAATCCTGGACCACACCTCAACGTCTTCCATGCCCTTGTTCCCTGCGTGGCTACCTCTGCACCCGCCAGAGTCCCGGCAAGCCATTGGTTGGACCAACCTCCTTTTGCTTGCCCTTTGTACAACGGCCTTGGCTCTTTCATCCAAAATCGCCCAGCCGGCGTGTCATGACATACCCTTGCAGCTCGGCACAGCTCCCCACTCCGCCCAGAAGCTCCACCCAGCCGAGGCTTCGCCCCGAGGCACCCCGCGCCTGAGGCGGTCCAGGCGCTGCTCGGAGGCCTTGAGCTCCAGCCGCTGCCACAGCCCCGCCTTCGCCTTCTCCGCGAAGCCCGCGAGCCGCGAAGCCGCCGGGGCGAGGCCGCCGCGCAGCGCCGCAGCCAGGTGGAAGCCGCCGGGAGTGGCCCGGGTCAGCGGCAGCTCCTAGGAAGGTGACAGGCGTTTTGGGACGGGCCAAGCTGCAAATCGAAGAGGAAAAAGAAGGAACAAGAAGAAGAAAGAAAAAGAAACAAAAAGGTGGCGATATTCCTTGAGAAGGTCGGAAAACCCCTTGGACTCGGAAAACCCCTTGGACCTGCAAGGGATCCCATGGACCCAGCCTCCGGCACGCAGGCCATGAGCTCCTTCTCCAGTTCCGCGGCCAGGTGCCCGAAAAGCCCCCGCTCGCTCCAGGCCTTCTGCAGCTCCTCCCGCAGCCGCTGGCTGACGTGGCGGCAGAAGAGCGCCCCAAGGCTCCCGTCCTGGCGGGAGGTGGGTGCCGTGAGGTGGGCGGGTGGGGGTGGGGACTGGGGGTGGGAGACTTGGGGTGGGGGACTGGGGGTGGGGGACTGGGGGGGACTGGGGGTGGGGGACTGGGGTGGGGGTGGGGAGGTGAGTCACACTCAACACCCGGTACAAAAATGGTCGACCCAGAATCATGTAAGCCGCAGTTATTTATGGCTGGGATCGTTCCTTACTAACCTTGGCTTTGATTGCGGCTCAGGTGGGGATCGAAGAGAAAAGTCGCAAGCGGGGTGAATTGGCGTTCCAAGCTGGAACGCATTCCAAACCACTTGCCCTACCAGAGAGATGGTGAGAGGAAGCTGCGTTTTCAGTGTTTATTGGGAAACGATTCAGGCCGTCAAGCAAGCAGTCACTCCCATGCTAATTCAATCAATTCAGCAAGACAGCATGCAGCATGGATCCTGCTGCTCCCCATGTTTCGTGAGATTCGGGTTTGAGCAAAAATCTAGAAGTCATTGTTCAGGAAACTCTTTGGCCAAGAAGATGCCCCAACACCAGACCATTCTGGGTCTTAGCCTCTTACCGCTTGCGTCCTCCACGCCTTCTGGGTGAAGGTTGTCTTCCAAACCTCCCCAACCCCCCCCACCAAACCAGCCCCCTGCGGAAACCCCGCAGCTCCTCCGTGGCCTCCAGGCCATCCTGCACGTGGCTGCGCAGCGCGCCCGGCAGCAGCTCCCCGAAGCGCCGCAGCTGCGCCGCGTGCGGCGGGGCCAAGGCCCGCGGCAGGCCCAGCGCCCGCTCCGCCGCGGCCAGCTGCTCCGCCTCGGGGGGAGGGCCCTGGGTCGGGGGGGCGGGGGTTCAGGGGGGGAGTTTCGGGGGGAGGTTTGTTCGCTTGGGGCTGGTGTGCTCCACAAATCATGGATCCTCAAAGTGGGGCGGGAGGGGGGGCCTCTCCTATGTTGTTCGTTTGGGGACTTGTGTACTACACCACAAGAAATGGATCCTCACAAAGTGGGCGTGTGCTTTGCCTGTACAACAAGGAGCACTTTGGCTGTGGGTTCCCTTGCAAAGCCACAGAAAGGGAACGCTCGGCATCAACTGTTTCCAGGGATCTCCGAAGAGAAGTAGTGCCCCCGCCTCCTGTCGAACCAGTCGGACGGTGTCCACCAGCCAATGGTCGCGCACAAAAGTGTCCACCGCATCCTGCACGTGTTTGGCACTGCGTGGTATGCAACAATGGCTTTCACTCAACTCACGATGCAATCTGATTCCTGTCCATGGCCATCAGTGAGGACAATATGTCAACAACACAAAGGCTTGCCCTGTGCATGGCAGCAAGATAGCCGTCCATGAGCACGCCAAACTCAGCAAGGCCCTAAGTCGAAAGTTGGAGTCACCTCAACCCCCAGCCACCCTCCCCCCCCCTTGGAGTTTTTGTGAAAACCTCTGGGTGTGTGGCTCCTTGATGTGGCGCCAAAGGCTGTTGCAGGAGCATCTCTCCAGCAAGAAGTCCGGCTCAACCTCCTCGCCCTGCACCCGTCTACCCGTGCCGGGCCAAGGGCCGACCCTTTTGGCTTCGCCTTTAACTCAGGACTTGGGTGCTGTTGAACGCTCTGCAAGAAGTTAACTTGTGGGTCCAGTGGAAAATCCGCTGTTTCCCAAAAAGTGAAAGTCCAAAGATCTAACCAAACAGCCAGAAAGAAAAGTTGTGTGCCGCTAACAAAGACACTAGTTGAACAGGTGTGCCTTCTTCGTAGGTTGAAGGCAAAGGATGCTAACGCCTCCCCTAGTGTTGCCTTACAGCCGAGCTTCAGCAGTGGCTCGAAAAAAGCAGGATGCTCCAAAGCCTTGTGTTGTGGTATCACCTCTAAGCTTGCGCCCACTTATCAGACAGCTCCCCCAAGTCGGACAATCCTGGCGTCAGCCGGCTCGTCAAAAACATGCAATCTCTTGCGGTGGCATTTTCCAAGCAAGACCATGCTCGAACCGGTCGAAAAGAATGAATCCCAAACAGTTGGAAGGACGAACCAAGCCTCTGGCTGAGACCTGAGCCGTGAATACCCAAGATTCGCTCGATTTCATGGGGAGGGCAACTGAAAAACCAAAGCACAATACCTCGGCTGAGGATGACCTTTCAAGCTTTGCAGCAGTGAGGAGTGCGCACTTGAACTTCCAACACGTGAAACAATCACCCGGCCCAGCACATTTGGTCTCACAGCTCCATGTTCCGTGCATTTGTTCAAGACATCGTGTGCCGTTCTTGCTGAAGAAAAACTTCCTGCAGAGTGCAATATTTACCGACAAGGGCCTCCGTACGCGGCCAGTTCCCATCCGCCCAACTGAACAACGGACTCGGCCACGTTCCAACTCCTTCCTCTCCAAAGGAACATTGGGCATCGGGCGGCGCCCATCCTTTCCTTTCTTTCTTTCTTTCTTTCTTTTTCTTTCTTTCTTTCTTTCTTTCTGTCTTTCTTTCTTTCTTCCTTCCTTCCTTCCTTTCTTTCTTTCTTTCTCTCCTTCTCTCTCTCTCTCTCTCTGTGCCACTCGGCTCTGCTTTGTCTTTCGGCCGCGCCTTGTGCTCCCGGGCGCTGGCCGGCCACTGCTTGGCCAGCTGCATGAAGTAGCGCTGCTCCCACTGTGCCATGGCATCCACCCGGGAGAGGCTCAGCCAGCCCCTGGCACATGAAACCGGCCCTCACGGGAAATATATCGCTTCAAGCGACCTAAGCTCTTGCCAGTGACGGCTGACACCTGAAAACATCGCCCGAGCGCGACATCCGAAACAAGGCGTGCACTTGGCAGAAGTGGCGGAGTTATTTGTTGTCATCAGCCACTTGCCGTCTTCTGGTTGGAGAAGTGCTTTATTGATCTTCATTTTGACACGTCCGCTGCGGGATAAACTTTACTCTACTTGCCAGCCCCAGCAGCAAAGTGAGCCGAAGCATTGTCAACATCCACCCACCCACCCACCCACCCACCCACCCACCCACCCACCCACCCACCCACCCACCCACCCACCCCAGCCATCCACCCGGCCTATCTTCGCACACGTCATTCAGCGCCGTGAGCGTGTAGCCCAGTCCCAGCTGCACCCCGCCCCCCGCATCGTCGCTGCCCTTCAGCAGCTGCAGCAGCCGAGGCCCGTGGTGCTTCAGGAAGGTGGAGTGCAGCGTCGTCTGTCGCGCCAGAACTGGCTGTGGGTCAAAAACAGGTTCCCATTTTGGGGACCCTGGTAAATGGAGCCAAGGACTAAAACCTGCGGTCCCCTGGTGGTTTAATTTTGACCCATACCTATGGTGCCATGGGTCAAAAGCCAAATCGTACCGCCAGTGAGCATCCCAATCCAACAACTAAAATAGGTTCTTAAAACGGGTGGTGCATTCACCTCCCCAAAATGGTAACATTGGTTTAACCCACAGCCATATGGACGTGTCTTGACGTCAGGGCAAGGCGAAACCAACAGACAAACCAAAGGCCCCCCCCCACAATTTGACACGTATCCACATGAGCGGTGCCTAAAACCCCATTGACTCAGTTGTATTGGTTAATGTTTTATGTAGCCCCCATTTCACAATCTAGTAAAACCAACTATCAAAATGGCTCATACTGGATTTGGGCGCTGCTCATAGTAGCTGCCACGGTCAAAACTCCTTGTTGACTTGGAACGAATTGTCTGAAGCCCCTACAATCGACGGTCCCCCACAACGCTTCACTTTGTGCACGAAAACGAAACTCAAGCTTAAAATTGGCAAACGGTGCTGTCTGGAGCACCCAACACAAGCACCACCTTTCCAAATACACTTAACAACTTAGGCACTGCATGGGCTCCCTGGACAGGCCGCTCAAGCCCCGTTTGCCCCAGACACCTCTTAGCTGGCCTGCTAAGGCCTTTTCGCAGGTGTGAGGGACGGATCTCCTGTCAGCCTCAAACATCCATGGACGGAACGACGCTTGCTGCGTCTAAGCCGGACAGCTCAAGAAAGGAAGGCAAGTTTTATTCTTCGGCCAACTGAGAACATGGCTGTGGGTCAAACATGGGTACCCAAAATGGAACCCTGGTAAATGGAGCCAAGGACGAACACCCGCGGTCCATATCCTGGTGTGTGTTTTTTTGACCCATACCCACATCACGCGGGGCGCCCGGGGGGCGCGGGCGGACCGGGCCTTGCCGTCCGTGAGGTCGCCGGTGAGCACATCCGTCATGGTGAGCACCCCCAAGGCCCGGCCTTCCAGTCCCACCTGCCATCAGGAACCCAGTTTTCCACAGACTGGTGTGTCACCCTCTTGTTTTTCTGTATGTGTTGCTTGTTTTTGGGGCGGGCGGGGGTTGCTGTGTTCCTCTTTGTTTGTTGGGGGGGTTGCTTTGTTCCTCTCCATTTTCTTTCCTTTTTTTGGAGGGGGGGGTTGTTCCTCTGTTTTGAGGGGCGGGGGGTTGCTTTGTTCCTCTGTTTTGTTTTGTTTTTGAGGGGGTGGGGCTGTTTTGTTCCTCTGTTTTTTTTGAGGGGGGGGAATGACTGGGTGGTGTTCTTTTTGATTTTCTTTCAACGCCAAAAACTGACACACACTGGGAATGCCACGTCGGCAGTCAAACACCAAACGTTCAAACACGTAAACATGAGATGAAATGTTGCAAGTTAGCACTGAACCGTGCAAAGTCAGTGGCCTTAAGGGCGATTGTTAGGGGTGAGCCCTCCAGCTGCCCGCGACGGGACCCAGGAGCAGCTCTCAGGCAGGTACGTTTCACGAAAAGTATGTGGGGTCTTCGTTGGCAGCCGCCCACATACTCTTCCGGCTGCCCCCTGCCGGCATGCACGAATTGCACGGATTTGACAAATCGGGGTACATACACGAACGTAGCTGAAAGCTTCTTGGTCTGGGGCAACCGCCGCAAACCTCTGTGCGTCAGGCGAATGCGTCCACTGATGTCCGCTGTGAACCGATAGGTCAGTAACGCCGTTCACGACAAACGTAGCTGAAAGCCACCTGGTCTGGGGCAACCGCCGCAAACCCGTTCACTGCTGGCGTGCATGAATTCCACGGATTTTGACAAACCTGGTTCTGCAGGTGGTTTGTACTGCGGATGCCACAGTGGGCAGATCGGGCTCTTCGAATTTGGGCGAGGGCTGATCGAATTTCAGCGAGGGTTCATCTCGAGAACGGGTTGTTAAAACATTTGGTCCAGCACGGCAATGTTTGCGGAGGCGGCGTCTCGAATTAGGCTGAGCTGCTGGCAGAGTTGCAGCAAACCCGTCTCAGATGTATTAACTTGGCGGTCAGGGGGGGGGAGGGGGGGGGCGGACGGCGGGGGAAGTGGATTACTCAAAACATGAGCCTAAATGGCCGAAGAATCAAGAAGTCACAGAACAATGAACAATGAGCGACGTGCAGTAAGTGAGAAATCTATTTTGACCAGCGTCGCAGGGTTGACCTAAAAAGTAGACCGACGAGAGGTCGCAGCCTGTAACTCGCGAAGGGTGAAACCATGGGATTGGTAAAAATCCTGCAACACAGCAATGTCCGTGGTAATGAAGGACCGAGGGAAAGTATACTTGCGAATCAGCGCAACACGAGATAGATAACCGGAAAATCTGTTGGCTCGTGTAGCCGTGCTATATGGGTGACGAACCTGCCATTTGGCATGCGGCATGATGAATCTGACCTGTCGAAGACGATGGAGTATGCGGAAACCCAAATAGTGATCATCGTTCACGGGCTCGATCAAAACAGGAGGTATGTAAAAAGTGTCCCGGAATAGAAATTGGAAAGGGGGCGAGTTGGCAATGTCGGCGTGAATCAATAGCATTCTGTTGTCGACGTATCGGGTAAAACAGAAAAGGTGTCGTTGGCTATGCAAAAACTGCTGAAAAGAATCAGTCCAAATCTGCTCCCGATGGGCAATCGCTAGGGCACACAATGCAGGAGAAAGCTGATTGCCAATTGTGGCTCCTCTAGTCTGCCGATAAACCTGTCCCAGGGTGAGGAAAATGCTAGCTGTAAAAGCAGTGGAAATGAAAAGGTCGATATCATCAAGGCGAATTGTTCGAAGGAGGCCTTTGCCCCTATACATGCGAAACTGCGAGTGAGTTGTGGACAAGTCAATTGAAAACGTGAGGTCAGGGGGTCCGGCGTGTTGTCTCAAATAGCGTTGCTTGGCTTCGCGCCAGGATGCTAACACTCGGCTTTGTGGAAGAGAATTGAAGAATCCGATGATGTCATCATTGCGTAGAACGATGCGGGCGTCATCCGAGATGGACTCAAAGAAATGACGGATGCTGCTCCAAATGTCCACATTTTGGCCGGGGTCCAATGATGCAGGAAAAGCAATACGTGAAACAGCTTGAACGACGAAAGCACAGGCTTTAAGGGCAGCGGCAAGGGGAGTGTTCCTAGCTGTTGTCGCAAAGATGAAACAGCCTGCCAAGTGATGCAGTCCTCATGTACGGTGTTCAAGTGCATTGGCCACTGACCTTCCAAGAAGTCGTGGGTGGCAGCATCATCCATGTTTAAACAGTGCTTGTCAGCCCAGCGGGCGGCATCTTTGCGGAATTCTTCTGAATATGTGCGCTTGGAGGGTAAAATTTGCGAGGCTGCGCTGTACTGAAGTATGGCTTTAAGCTGCGGAGATATCGACAAGAACTCGGCTGGGGAAGCAATGTGCCCATTATGCATTTCCAAATGGGGGTGTCTAGGCAAGAATGATTTGCAGGGGCACGAAGGGACTCTCCCTGGGTTCAAGGAGAATTCACGCATGGTCTCCTGGAAATTGAACAGTCGTTCGTGTAACGAGACGTGAGCCCGAAACAATATGGACCGGGAAGGAACATGAAGTGGGAGGAGTCGGTGTTCACTCTTGCGAATTATTTGCAGCAAAAATTGGCGTACATTGTATTGAAATTCAGGATGCGACAGGGGGCAAGTGCGAAAAGGGCTGTTAGTACCCGGCAAAGCAAGATTCTTGACCCGAAAGATCTTGGCAATGTGCGACTTGACTCTGCTGCGCCAGGGTTGTTCGAGGTTGTTACTCAAACGGAGTAGGGCATACAAGTGAAGTTGATGAACACTGTGTCGGCGAAGAAAAGCCTGGGCTCGAAAACTTGTCAAGTTGTCACCTGCGAGCATCAAAAGGGTCTGCCACAAAGACTGAACGGAGTCACTGAAGGAAGTAAGGAGGGAGAAAGGGCAATGAACAGCAGAAAGTCGTCGGCGAATCTTCTTGTGCAATCGGGAACTGGCTATAGACTGGTGATGTCGAGTCGGTAGTCGTTGATGTTTGATCCCTGAAGCCCGGAGTTGAATACGATTGCAAAAAGGGTAATTCAGGGGTGGCTGCCATCGGCTGATGAGATTAAGTTCCAACAGGCGTACCTCGTGTTCTGCATCGGCAGTCACCACTGGCAACAAAACGAAATCAAAAAATGAGGACGTGCGGACCCAATAGTGCAAAGCCAGCTCGGCTTTGACAAGCTTATGCTGCTGTAACTGATGGAGTTTGCGTAAACGAGAGTGAAACCGACCAAAAACAGTCTTCCGGGTACTGCCGATGTAGAAGAGCCGGGCCTTCTTGGCAAATCTGTGAGGTTGTCGTGTATCCATTGCCAACATCAGATATACAGCATAGGGGGAGTCCATCAAGCTCCAAGAAAGGGATTGCCATGAGTAGTCAAAGCATGTTAATCGACGTCTCCACTGGGTAATGGCAGCGGAGTTAGGGGCCCAGTGAAACAATATAAGCCAAGCAAGCTTGGCTCGGATAAGCAAAAGAGCATTTGAAACATGTATGGGCATATACTTGGGTAAATACTGCAGCGTAATGGTAGAAAAACGGAAAATAAGGTCAATGAGGTTGGCGTACTGTCGCATCATTTTGGCCGGTTGATGACCTCTGCTGATCCATTCGTAAAGCCATTGGATAATGAGAAATAAGAGTCTGAAAACATCCTCGAGGTCGGCAAAGAAGGTGTTGATGGGAATCGGAATAGGTTGTGAAACACGCAAGTCTTCGGGAGCTAGTTTGGAAATCTGTGTGAAAATGTCGGTCAGCATGTCGGAGTGTGTGTCGAATATGCGCATGGGATCCATCGCGGTCTGTACACGAAGAGGGCGACGAACCTGTGAGCTACCATGGCTAAGCACCGTGTGAGAAACCATGTTGCGCGTGCAACTCAAAGAGTGCGAACAACAAAAGTGCAAATGAACAAAACGGTTCAAGGCTCGCACTGTTTTCGTCCATCCAGAAGTCAACATCTAGGGAGAAAAGCAAAATAACCAAAGGCATGTTGGCGCTCATCACTGCAGAACCCGATGGTTCGCGTCAAGCGAAGGTTAGAGCGTATGCCACCAAAATGCAGCGATACAGCTCATGATCCTTCATGTTCACTGCACGGGATACCGGCAATCCGAATTCCGCGGCGCGGTCTTTGAGGTTTGACCTCTGTTCCGGGCTTAAATCCTTGGCGGAATCGGCAGAGCAGGTCATGGCATCTTTGAACGCCGAGGCGACACCATCCGGAAGGCGTAGGTTCTTAAGCCACTTGGTGACGACCGCGGGGGTGTGACCATTGGGGGCCGACTGGTGCAATGTGCGGTTTGCCACAACATAGTCCATGTGGAACGGACGTTGGGAGTCAAAACCATCAAGGTCGGAGACAACCGCCGCAGGGGCACCCTCAACAGTTCTACGCTTCTTGCTGGGGGGGGCCGCCACAGGTAATGAGTTGGGCGCATCCTTACCGGCTTCAGTAGAAGCAATCTGCATTTCCAACTTCTTGATGGTTTCCTGGGCCTTGATGAGATCAGTGGTCACTTGACGGCGTAGGGGGGCGACCAATTCTTTGGCAACGAAGGCCAACAGCTCGGCGCGGGCCTCTTGGGAATTGAGGGCAAGGGCCTGCGTGGGATGGGAGTTCTGCCAAAGGTTCTGGGCGAGGGTGTCAATATCCATGCCAAGGGATCGAAGTTCTTGCATCAGCTTTTCGCATAAAACGGTTTCCTTGATCGATCTGCCAAATATGACCGACACAAAGTCGCCGGCTGCGAGCCAACGCAATGACACGTTCTCGATGCCTTTATAGCATAAGAGGGACACTGGAACCTGCAAGGGGTCCAAACCAGCAAGGTTGTTGCGGCGGCTCCACGCCGTTTCCACCACTTTGTTGGGGAGGGTGCGCCCAAATATCGGCTTGGTGTCATGATGGTGGGTGTCCGTGGTCCACGAACCCGGAAAACTGGTAGGAGCGCCGCTGGGCTTTCCCGAGGGGCTGTACTTAAGGTCGGGGTTCCGCATGGGAGTCCTCTTATCCGGGGTGGCTGGGCCGTGGGAGTCGGGCGAAGGCTTGTGTTCCCAAGAATCCTGCCATGACTTGTTGGGCCATTTTCCCGATGAAACAGGTTGACTGGCATCCTGCCAACCAGGGTTCCACGAAGAAGAATTCCATTGATCGTCTTGCCATGTAGTGCGGGACTTCCACGAGCGGTGGTCCCAAGACTTGTCAGACGAGACGGGCTTACTCCAGCTCATTGGGGCAATCAACAACGGGCCGTTCCGGGGGAATCAAAACAGCTGCAAGGGATCAAGCAGTGTTCAATTCGGTCCCAGAGGCAATGCGAGAAAGGTCATCAAAAGGTAATGACAATGCACGGTTGAGAAGCGGACTTTTTTCGAGATGCGAAGTCAAGTGGGGTGAGACTTGTCTGAGCCGGATTCGCACTCAAAACCGCACCTTGATTGGGAATAACAGATTTAACAAGTGGGCCCTCACCCGGCGAGGATGTTCAGCATTTCGGGGCCTGTCGCCTGTCCCCAGGATCCCCACTGCTGATCCTCCTTTACTGTAACGACAAATAAATCTGTCAAGCAAGCTGCCGACTCCCTAATACACCATCGCTTGTCTTTACTAGCGGAGTGGACAATCTCGTACCTTCGTGCGAGTTCTTGTTCCCGCCACGTGTCCGCAGACGTGGGCTTAGTGGATTTCCCTCGGCACCCGCCAGAAAAAACTAGGCCGCTCGCGTTCTTGGTATGATATGCGCATTGCCCAGCAAATGCAGCCAATTCGGCCGCGGTACCGCCCGCAAGGTGGGCCCTCGCAAAAAAGCCATAGCAGTCATGAGTGTCAGGCATGTTGAGTCCTTCACGTGTGCTCCTCATGACTTTGCCCGTTTTCAAAATTCCGATAGCCGACAAAAGGGTGGTGCCATGGTACCAGCGAACGTGAGTGTCGCCCGTGGCTTGAATGGACACAGGACCTGGCATGTCACTGAATGACAGTCTCCAAATGATGGTCTCTTCGGAATCAATCCAAGCAGGAATTGGTGTGCGGATGCGGCGTTGGTAATCAATACCGCTGGCGGTCAGTGCGATCACTAAATTCTGCATGACCGCGGGGGACTGCGGGAACTCCGTAAGGGTGAAGTCCAAATGACACATCACCCAATTTAAACATTCGACAAATGGCGGAGCGGCGCAAAAGCGAGTGAGGGCCACCTCTGGCTGGAGCCATTCGGTGCGGCCTGCAGCTGTCGCAGTTTGATGCGGAGGTGGAATCCGAAATTCGGACCCCCGGGTTTGCTCCTCTAAGGCGCTGTACAAGTCTCGGGTGGTCAACTTGGCGAGGGCTGTACTTGTTGTCAAAGCATCGGTGCGTCCTCCTGAAGCATCGTTGGCCGATGTCTTACGGAGGCGGCTATTGGACGGAGTGTCATCTCGAGGATGCTGATCCTGAGATGCTGTCGCCTGTACACTGGCCGGAGGAGCAAGCGCGAGAGAGACCGTGCGTGGAGAGGCAGCTGCTCCGGGGTAGGGAGGCGGCGTTTCAGCCCGGGCATCCATCAAATTGGGGACTGCCTGACACGGTCCATGCGGGCCTCGAGAGTCTGGATTGCCAGATGTCTGGCGTGTTGGTCGTGCCGGCGGGTGCGCAGGCTCCGCTGGTCTCGAATTTGCATGCACGGGCGGAGGTGTTCGAGGCGGCGGACCGGGCTGAATTCTCGGACATGGTACAGGAGGTGGGCGGTGACTGCACATTGGCGGCCACGGAGTCTGCTGATAGGGTGATACACCCAGACCAGGCGGAGGCAGAGGCGGAGGAGCTTCGTAATGCGGTCCTGGCATCGGCGGTGCAGGGCAGCTGCTTGAAAAGTTCAAGGCCGCTGAGGACTGCGCGTGCGAAGCGAGCGGAGCAGGAATCACAGGTGGTGCAACTTGTCCGAAAGTTGCCGGACTAGGCTGTACAGGTGGCCAAGGTTGCACCAGGTGGTAACGATGCGTGTCCCCTGTTCGGGGATTCTGCGGCGCGGGCTGACTCTGCTGGCTCGGCTGACTCGGCTGACTTGGCCGGCTCGGCGTGGGATCGTAGGGATCCGACATCGGAGGGCGAGGAAACAGTGAAACATTTCCGGGTGGTCCTGCGGGTCTATCTTGGCTCCAGCGGGGATCCAGACGGACTTCCGAATTAGTGCGCTCGGGTCGTCTGCGACAGTCTCTGTGGGTCTTGCGACCTCTGGATCGGGAGCGGGACCTGCGTGGTGTCCGCCTGCGGTGCCTGCGCTGTCGAGATCTCGATCTTCGGGATCTCGACTTCTGTCGCTGGGAAGCTGGGGTCAAGGTGACCGCTCGGGCAGGCTGGGGGTCAGTCGGATTAGCATCCGGCAGGACATGCATGCGGATAGTCCCCGAATTAGGACGAGGCGGAGGCGCTGGATGCGAGTGGTGCATCGGTTCCATGTTTCCGTAGAAATGGAACGAGTAGTGCGACATGTCGAATTGCACAGCGGTAGCAAACCTTGTATATGGTTCGTACAAGGAGCCAAATAGCTGCGGATCTGAAATCAGGTCAGAGTCATGGAGGGCCTTGGTGAGGCTCAAACTCTCGTGCACTTATTGGCTAATTGATTCGTCCGTAGGAGCTGTTCGTCGAAAGTCATTCGTTGTAAACTTTTCGTTGTAAACTTTTCGTTGTAAACCGAAAGGAATGATTCCAGATGAGTGCCTGCAACGCAGGCAGGGTGAGATGCAGTAATGATGGGGTAAACTGGCCTGTCAAGTAGGCCACGACCATACGTTGTAAACAGCGATCGTTCCCGTGTAAACGTGCCAGAAAGGCTCCACCATCTCAACGGCTCTTGTCTAGTGAGATAAACAGGGTTCTCTAGCAGGCAAGCTGCTAGGACTGCGCACTTTGACAGAAAGCACAGCCAGACACACTGGGAATGCCACGTCGGCAGTCAAACACCAAACGTTCAAACACGTAAACATGAGATGAAATGTTGCAAGTTAGCACTGAACCGTGCAAAGTCAGTGGCCTTAAGGGCGATTGTTAGGGGTGAGCCCTCCAGCTGCCCGCGACGGGACCCAGGAGCAGCTCTCAGGCAGGTACGTTTCACGAAAAGTATGTGGGGTCTTCGTTGGCAGCCGCCCACATACTCTTCCGGCTGCCCCTGCCGGCATGCACGAATTGCACGGATTTGACAAATCGGGGTACATACACGAACGTAGCTGAAAGCTTCTTGGTCTGGGGCAACCGCCGCAAACCTCTGTGCGTCAGGCGAATGCGTCCACTGATGTCCGCTGTGAACCGATAGGTCAGTAACGCCGTTCACGACAAACGTAGCTGAAAGCCACCTGGTCTGGGGCAACCGCCGCAAACCCGTTCACTGCTGGCGTGCATGAATTCCACGGATTTTGACAAACCTGGTTCTGCAGGTGGTTTGTACTGCGAGAGAGAGAGAGAGAGAGAGAGAGAGAGAGAGAGAGAGAGAGAGAGAGAGAGAGAGAGAGAGAGAGAGAGAGAGAGAGAGAGAGAGAGAGAGAGAAGGAGAGGAGGGAGAGAGGAGAGAGAGAGAGAGAGAGAGAGAGAGAGAGCAGAGAGAGAGAGAGAGAGAGAGAGAGAGAGAGAGAGAGAGAGAGAGAGAGAGAGAGAGAGAGAGAGGGAGGGAGAGGGAGAGAGAGAGGGAGAGGAGGAGAGGGAGAGGGAGAGGAGAGGGAGAGGGAGAGGGAGAGGGAGAGGGAGAGGGAGAGGGAGAGGGAGAGGGAGGGAGAGAGGGAGAGGGAGAGGGAGGGAGAGGGAGAGGGAGAGGGAGAGAGAGGGAGAGAGAGAGGAGAGGGAGAGGGAGAGGGAGAGGGAGAGGGAGAGAGAGAGAGAGAGAGAGAGAGAGACAAAAGCCGGTGAGTCCAAGCCCGCCTCCTGCACCAGCCGCATTGCCAGGGAGTTGTTGGGCTGCTCAGAAGCCTCCAAACCCCAGCAGAACAAGACCTCGTAGTGGTCCCTCGAAAAAAAGAAAAAGAAAAGAAAAAAAGAAAGAAGAAAAAAGCCAACAGGCCAAAATGGACAGAGCTTCATCCCAATTTCACCAACCCCCCCCCCCCCTCCACCAAGCCCCAAGCCCAGGCTAACTCCAGCCAACTCCCTCCCAGCTCCCTCCACTCCCCCGGATTCCCCCCCCACCCCCACCCCCCTCCACATCACCCCACCCTCCCACCCTCCACTCCCCCGGATTCCTTCACCGCCACCACGAAGAGCCCGCCCTCCCGGTGCTTCTTGGCGTAGCTCCGCACCAGGCCCGCGGTGCTGGCCGCCACGTCCGCGGGCCGCCCCCGCGCCGAGGCGGCCACCAGCCCCGGGCAGTCCACCACCTGCCGACGGAAAGCCGCCCAACCAGCCAGCCAGCCAGCCAGCCAGCCAGCCAGCCAGCCAGCCAGCCAACCAACCAACCAACCAACCAACCAACACACCCAGGGAAACCGCCCTGTTGGGCTTGGGGGCGAGGGGGTTGGGAGGGCGAATGCTCACTGCCTGTTTTTGTTTGATGTATCTAGAGGAGGAAACACAAATTCTGCGGGCCAAATTGCCTCATTCTGTTGGCATCAACAAGTCACCCAGTGGGTGGCTTAAAGGGAAACAGCCACCAGTGGCTGACCTTGATGAATCCTGCGAAAAGATATACTTGGACCTGATGACCCTGGGCTTACCCCACTCTTTTCGACCACCTCTCTGTTCCACCGAGGCACGTCCAGGTTAGGCGCCTTCGGAGAAACCAGCTCCACCACCAGCCTCAATGGCCGCCCCTCCCCCCGGGATCTGACGCTTTGGCCCACAAGCTGAAACAGCCATTTTCGCGATCTACCGAAAGCCAACAGAGATGCCCATGATTCGCCCATGATTCGCCGGAGATGCACCACAGGTCGTTGCCGGCGCGCGTTGCCAAAAACCAGGCCCCGGCCAAAACCAGAAACCACGCCTTGAAACCTCGGGTCTGAGAAAGTCCAGCCCACGTCCCCGCGCCGAGCGGCAGCTTCTTGGTGCAGAGACCATCCGAAGGCTCCAAAGGCGTGGCCTTGACGTTCGCCGCGTAGTAGGCCTCGTCCTTGCCCGGCACCTCCAAACGCAAGGCCTCCAGCCGCACCTGGCCTCGCCGCGTTTTCGGGTGGCCAAGACGCCGTCCAAAACACCCGGCTTTGTACATTCCTGAAGGGGTTCATGACCATAACCTCTACGGCTCAGATCCTTTTTTTGTGGATACCCCCTTTTGGTGTGGGCTTTTCACGGGAAACCCAGGGGCCCTGTTGTTTGCTTTGTGTTTTCTTCAGGGGGGGTCTTTCAACAGAGGCCAGTCCCACTTCGGGTCCGAGGCTCGCGTCATCTCCTTCATCACGGCAGCCCCCAGGCCCTCCAGCTCCAGCTCCAGCCCCTGCCCCGGCTGCGCGCCCTGCGGGTCCTGCGCGCGTTTTGGGACACCCGCGCCCAATCGTAGCGCCAACCACAAAGGGTCTCCTTGCAAGCGACCCTCTGGTGGCACCCTTTTAGTGCCGCCCTGTGATTGGCACTTTTTAAGGGACCCCTGAAAACGAGTTTGCCAGAGTGGCTCAGAGATCCATGTCACGGGGCCAAACGGAAGGGCCGTTTGCCTCCAGCATGGAAAAACAAGACTCGGTTGCTTTCTGCTCCCCTGCCAAAAGTTTAAAAAACTTTCAGTGGTTTAATACGCAAAAGCCCGAATTGTTGGCAAGAAGCTCAAGTCCTAACATCCCTTGGCAAAATGCAACAAACCAGAAACACGCTTGGCTCCCCCAAAGGAGCCGGACACGGAGCCGCGGACGCGGCCGGCCCGCCCACGGCCCGGGCCTCATCCCGCTGCGTCTGCATGTCCTGCACCAGAAGCCGCAGCTTCCGCTGCTCGCCCCGGCGCAGGCGCACCTGCTGAGGAGACCCAAAGAAACGGACTTTGGGTTTGCTGGTTGGTTGGATGGTTTGGGTTGGGTTGGGTTGGGTTGGGTTGGGTTGGGTTGGGTTGGGTTGGGTTCGGTTGGGTTGGGTTGGGTTGGGTTGGGTTGGGTTGGGTTGGGTTGGTTGGGTTGGTTGGTTGGTTTGCGTTTAAACACCACCTTTACAAGGGAAGAATCATCATAAGCAGTGGTTTAAACATGTTTAAACCAACGGGTGGCCCCACCCTACTTTGGGCCAGGAATTTGGCTGGGGGACCCTTTCGTGGACATTTGTATCGGCTAAGGTCTTCCTTCGGATTGGTCTTATCAAAAGGTTACACCTGCTCAACAGTGGTGTTTTCCACAAGATGTTACTTGCCGCCGCCTGCAACGAGGTTGCAGGCCAACATGTTGTCCTTGCGCAAAAAGTTGAGGGCTGAAAAACGCTGGTTTGACGCCTACTCAAGCATTGACATCCCCGAAAACGTATGAAACGGCCATTGTGTTGCTGAGTATCTGCGCTCCCAACTCCTGCCTTGATCAACGCCCTGGTGCAAAGGTCCGCGTTTCGAGGGAAGATGGGCAGCCCCGTCAGCCGCTCCAGGAGCGTGGACTTGCCAGTGCTCTCCTGCAACTCGGCGCTCAGCTCTGGGCTCTCTTCCGGTCGTGGGCTCTTTGGCCACTGCCTTTGGCTTGCGGAAAAAGAAAAACTGCACGGAGAATCGACTTGAAGAGTCTTGATCTTCGAAGAAAGGAAAACTGGCTGTGGTTGTCAAAACCAATGGGATACCATTTTGGTTGGTAGGTGAATTCACCACCCATGTTTGACCCTTTTTTAGTGTTTGGATTGAATCGGATGTTCACTGGAGGTACGGGCTTTGGATTTTGACCCATGGCCCCTTTTCTCCTGGCCCAGCATGATGACTTGCGGCGCGCTCAGCTGCTCCACCGAGACCAGGTCCTGAAAAGGCTGGAAAAATCAGACCCCAGCAAATAAAACGAAAACGTTTTTGATGGGTAGTGGAAAACAAAGGGACCCCAAAAAAGCAAAAGGAAAAAGGGGAGCTAAGTCCCAACAGCCAGAACTGGCTGTGGATCAAAAATAGGTACCCGAAACGGAACCCTGGTAAATAGAACCAATGACCACAACCTGCGGTCCCCTGGTCGTTTAATTTTGACCCATACCCAACTAGTGACCAGCACCAAGTAACACACGAAACCATAGTTTTGGCTTTGTGCAGCCGGCGTGGCATGGCGCGCTGTGCAGAAAAAAACCTGAGTTGCCCAAAGGGGATCGATCCCTTCCGCTTTGCGAGCTCAAGAAGCGCCAGTTTTGGAGTTGAGTGGCGAGGAGCTTAGAAGTGATCTCGGCCAAACCATGGTCTCGCGCTTGAAAATGACGAGGCATGGTGAGGCCAAAACGCACACTCGCAGCAAAAGACCGGCAAAACAACCAAAACGACAGAAATCTCTGCACGGCCGCTGCGGCTGCAGTCGAGCATCCCTGCTTATCAAGGTGGGCATTCAAGCAATGGTCAACTTGCGTTCATACGTGCAGTGGTGAGCAGCGGCCGAGCGGCAACACATGAAATACTTGAGTGCAGTGGTGCGATTGTGAAATCAGTCAAAACCGCAGAAGCGCAAACCCCTTCAAAAATGGCCTCGTGAGCTTCTCTCCAAATCTGCGCACCCAGCAAATCTGCAAACACATGAGCATCCTCCAAAAGGCGCCAAACGTGGAAACCCCCAAACTCCCCCAATTGGCTGTCTCCCCCCAAACAAGGAAGCACCACCTCCGGAGCCCCTGGGATCCGCCCCAAACCTCGACACCCCGAAACCTCCTCGCCTTGAGGGGGTCGATGACGTCGAAGAAGCCCGCGCAGCGCTCGGCGCTCCAGGTCTCCAGGATGCCCGAGCGCTCGTTGAAGAGCACCTCCTCGTCGAACGGAAAAATGCGTTCTCCAGCGGAAAGTGGATCAAGACTCCATGAAAGGCCCCCAGTTTTGAGCATCGGTTTCGTCTTGTCCATTTAGTGGGAAATATCACGTTTTTAGTGTTGCTGCGTTTGTTTGGTGCGTTCTTTGGTGTTTTCTTTGGGTTGGGAGCTGCAAAGAACAAGATTTAGGTGTTGCTAGCATACCGCGGGGTTGGAACATTGCATTGGGTTGCTGCCATTTGTGTTGTTTGGAGTTGGTAGCCCTCGAAGGGCAACGAAGGAACCGATCAAACCTCTGCACCCTTCAGGGCTCAGGGTCATCCCGCGATGCCAAAAACAAACACTAAGAAGTAACAACACACACACACACACACACACACACACACACACACACACACACACACACACACACGCGGGTCAAGGGTCAAACATTTCCACCCAAAGGTGGGTCAAAAATGGGCCCCCCGAAAGGAGGGCCTGACCCATTAGATTCCCCCGCCTTCAGCTTGTCGTTGAAGGCGTCCACGTCCGGAATCGACGCCAAGATGGCGTCCACGTCCTCCCGGCGGCTGGCCTTGCAGTTCCGCACGTCCAGCGTCTCCCGCACCCGCGCCACCTCCAGAGCCGCGCTGGCCGGCACTTGGCTCCTCAAAGTCAAAGCAAGGAGGTGGAGCGACTTGCGACGAACCTAGGTGTCCTTTTAGGGTAAATAGATTGCCCTGGTAGATTAAGCCACAAGGCAAACCAGGGAAACCCATCTATTTTCTACCAAAACAACCAAAAGGACATCTATGGCGACGAATCTTGGGACCCAAAAAGAGAAACAAAAATCCTGCTGATGTGGGTGTGGGTGAAAATTAAACCACCAGGAGATGGACCCCAGGTTTACCAGTTCCATTTTGGGTACCCATTTTTGACCCACAGCCATGCACCCTCTTTCCAGCAATGGTGGAAGACCGTGTTCCAAATCGAAGCCCAAAGGTCCACTCTCAGGGTTCCCACCAGAAATCCGCCGAATGTACCCTGAATCCAGCAATGGCTTTGGACTGCGTCCCAAATGGAAGCCCAAAAACGTCCACTCCCAGGTCTCCCCACACCGAACGACCGAACGTCCTCCGCTTGCCCGTGGGATTCGCCTTGAGCTTCTCGGGGGGCGGGAAGAGCATGGCCACCTGCGTCAGCTCCAGCTCCTGCGCCTTGGCGATCTCCGCCATGACCCAGATCCTGCGCCAAAAGCGTCCGGGTCAGCATGCGTCAAATGTTGGGGCTGTGGCTCAAAGGTGGCACCAAAACCCCTTGGAATAATAGCTTGTCGATGTGGCTCCAAAAAAAAGAGGCGTGGTACCAAAATGGCGCCCTGGTGAATGGAAGCAAAGACTGAAACCCCCGTAACCCCCAGCTCTTTAGTTTGAGCCATACCCAGAATTTGCCTAGGAACCAGTGAGGGAAGCGTCAAAGCAACCTTTTGGAGGCGGGTTCAAACCGACGCCCCCTGACGAGTACGGCATTTTATCATATAACCCCAAAAAAAAAGGTTGACCTTCCTTTGCCTCAACGAAAAACAAGAAGCCTCCTTGTGAGTATCGCAACCCCGCCCCCTCTCATCCCCCCTCCTCTCCCCTCAAAATCAAGCACCAAAATATGGACCGCAGGTTTTAGTCCTTGGTTCCAGAAAACCAGGGCAACCCATTTTGGGGTGTACCCATTTTGACCCTTCCCCCAAATCGAGTCGCTCCTGGAGAAGACCTCAAAGCTGCGATCCACCACGATGACGTGGTTCAGCTTCCGCTGCACCGCCTTCGGCACCTCCTTGTCCAGCGCCGCCATCATGGCGTCGAACTTGTCCTCCGGTGCTCCCAAAAAACGTCTTTTAAATGGCTGTGGGTGTCCAAAATGGGGAAACCCCAAAATTGCACAATAAAACCCGCGGTCCAATTCCTGGTGGTTTAATCTTGACCCATACCCTTTGTTCCGTCCGGCAGAGGAGGTCTCAACAAAAATACACCGTGACGAGAAAAAGGAAAAGAAAAACACGTGGCCCAGAGTGAATTGAGCTGCGAGTGAATTGTGCCACGACCTATTCCAATGATGGCGCTGCTTGAAAACGACCGCCGCACAAACCAATTTGCACAAAAACCTCCACATGGTTGTGGGTCAAAAATGGGATAACCCCAAAATTCAACCGTGGTGGTCCACGATTCTGCACTTCGCTGGCCTCTTGCCGATCGATGCCTCCAGCAAGAAACACCCAAAACACCCCAAACCACCCAAAAAAATCCAGAGCCGACACCCAAGCCCGCGGTGGTTTTTACCCACGCGTCCATTTCGCAGAGGGAGGAGTTGTTCCAGTGCTTGGTGGTGGCGCAGCCGCAGAGCTCGAAGTGCTGCTGGGTCACCGGGTCGTGGGTCTCCCGGTGGTGATACTCCAAGGCCTCTCGATGCTCCTCCTCCCGCTGGCCCTCGCGCGGAAGCGGTGCGCCCGGCAGGCCGTTGCAGATGCTGGCGTGCTGGTTCACGCAGAACAAGCACAGCCAAAAGGTGCTGCGCAGCGCGTCCCGGCGGTCCAGCCTCAAACATGTCAAAAATGCAGGTGGGGGGACGTATGGTGGACACTTGGGGTTTATTTTGCAACCTCCTTCTTTTAGGGTCTTGTTTTTTTTTGGCTTCTTGGTTGCAAAATAGACTCTAGGTGTCCATGGCACGGGGGGGACCCAAAACATGGTGACGTTCCCTCTGATTTACCTAACCAAACTTCGGAAAAAAAAAAAAAAAAAAAAAAAAAAAAAAAAAAAAAAAAAAAAAAAAAAAAAAAAAAAAAAAACGCGAGGTTTCGTGAGAAATGCACCAAACAAGTCCCGCCTTTGGCGCAAAGACTCGAAGTCCTTCTCGACCAGGCACTTGGCCGTTGCCTTAGGCGACCCGCCCCCCCGGTTTGCACGACATGAAACACACGATGCGGGTTCAGGCTTCAGGGTTTTGCACCTGCTAAAAGCGCCACGGGAAAAAACGAATTTCCAAACCATGGCATGCAAAAAAGGGGCGATGGCTGAACCCACCTCCTTCTCAATCAAAGCCAGAAGCTGGGTGTCTCCCAGTCCCCAACCGGTCGGTTTCCCATTTGCGTTGGGGACCCGAGGCGGGCTGCACCACGCGCCTCGCCTCGTAGCTGGTCTCCCCCAGAGCAAAGGCCACCACCGCGGCCACCAGGTGGCAGAAGAGGTTGCGCCAGTGGTGCGACACCATGACGGTGGCCAAACACGCGGCGTTCCCTGGCACTCACGGAGTCCTCTGTGGATCTGTGGCTCCCTCCAGCCCCCCCCCCCGAAAGTTCGAGTGGAACTGATCAATCAAAGTCTTAAGACCCCTCAAGTTGACAAAATACACATTGGGGCAATGCTGCCTTTGCTAAAAGAGCTGAAGCAAAGGAAATAAGCTCAGGTGATATCCCCAACAGCATGCGGTACTCTTTTTTTAGTGCTCGCACCACCCCGCAGCCCTCGCAGAACCTCGTGGGACCCTCGTGGGACCCTGGTGGAACCCTGGTGGAACCCTCGCGGAACCTTACCTCAGGGCCGCCCCGGACCACCCCGCTATCTGGGCTGAGACCCCAAAGCTTGCAGCTGTTGGGGAAAAATGACTGGCACAGGTGAAAACTCACCCTGCTCCTGGCAACAGAGGCAAAGCAAAACTCGGTCGCATCTCAATCTGCGGGTTGTTCAGGCCCCCATTTGAGTGGCCTGAACACAAAAACCTAGCCTGTACTTTCTTCCAGAACGCCATCAACTACGGACCAAGTTCTGACCCATCGTTCCCCACCCAGCCCCCACACTCCCCGAAACCTACCGCGCCTCCGGCGGCCGTGGAGTAGGCGCAGCTGCCGAAGGGCGTGCTCTTCGTTGCGGGGATGATGGCGGAGCGCACCACGTCGTGGGTGGTGTGCTGATCCTCGCGAAAGGCTCAGGCGAGTGCCAGGCGGAGGCGCCTGAGGTGACCTGGTTGCTTAAAAGTCAAAATTGAAGTGTCCGAACGAACCAAAGGCAATGGCAACCATGGTACTGTGGCGAGAACGAGCAGGGCCAACCTCCTTTTGGACGGTCACATGGAAGCCAAAAAAACAACCAGACTCATTCTGAGTGGCAGTTGCGAATTGTTCATGGCCAGTGAGAGTCACTTTGAACGGTTCTCTGGTCAGCCGGGAACAAATATTGAATGAATCTGTTCAAACAGAAACCAGAAACAAACAAGCACCTCAACAAAACGCCAAACGTATCAAACATGAAACCACCCCGTTCCCTCCTTTCCTTCCCCTCCCAACCCCTTCTCACCCCCCTCGACCCCATCCCGTCCGGGTCGAAGTGGGTCATAAGCCTCTGGCCCTGGTCCCCCACCAGGGACCCTTCCGCCAGACTCTGATAGAAGCCCAGCAGATGCCCCAGCTGCAGACCCCTTTGCGCCAAATCCTGCACCTGGATGCGCTTGGCATTTTGGGGTTTTCGGAGGGGAAAATGAGGGGGGAAAGGGGGTTCTTTCAAGGGAAAACGAAAGGAACCAGTTTTTTTTGTGTGTCGGCTTTTCATGTGTCAGCTTTTGGGGGTCGCCCCTAAAGGGGCCAGATCCAATGGAAAGGGTTGAATTGAAAGTGATCCATTGCCGTTTGTGGCAATTGGGCCGATGGAAACCGAAGGGGTCACTTTGCCTCAGGCGACCTGGCAACCTCAACTCGAGGCGGTTGTCCGAGCCTTTGACAACACCCAAAGCCGACATCAGGGAAAGCGACGTCCAAACCTCAGCAGCAAACCCGAAGCCTCGAAAAAGCCAACTGATGGGAAGGCCTCCCTTGCAAAACGACGTGACACTCAACCTGTCAAGCATCGGACGAGTGCACCGTTGGCCGATTTCAGCCCCAACGTTGGCCCCAAACGCCACGTGTTGATCGCTGGGCATTGCAAAACGCTGAGTCAAGCTCGCCATGGCGACACGGGTCCCTGCCTTGGCGTGCCAGGACTCCCTCTCCTCGCAGGCAAGGAAAGCAAAGAAGTGTTCAGGGCTGGACCAAGGTGATGGTTTCTTGGGGGGGGAAAATAACACCTTGCGACGGATCAAAATGAAACGTCTACGTACGAACCAGGTCTGGTTGCGCAACACCCCAGTGGCAAACATTGAAGTAGACGTGATGGCTTTGATCAACAAACCCGGTCAGACACTCACATCCTGGTATCGCTTTTTGTTCATCACTGTCCATCGTTAAAAAATGTGTGCCTGACACATCCGGCCTTGTCAACGCTGTCGCCCTCATCGCCCTCGGCCTCGGCGCCTGCATGGGCAGTGCTCTCGTCGGGCTTCTCGTCAGCCGAGTCCTGGCAACTGGAGAGCTCCCAATGCGCCCTTCGGCGAGTGCTGGGCTCGCGGACCGGACACCCGGCCTCCGAGCTGCCGCTGTCGTTGGCTTCACTTTCCTCCCAAGGAAAGCCGAGCGAGTCACGTCTCTGTCACTTGCAGCTTCCAATCAGCCAACTGTTGGGCACTAAGTATCGCTCGCAACTGTGAACGGCAAGGCAGCTGCGATACCCCTTCGTTGCCAAATAGATCAAACGTCCCAATTTCTGGGCTGCAGCAAAGATTGGCTTTTTGGAGGTCCAAGAATAGGAATTGAGAGAGGAGTCTCCGAGTGAATCTCACTTTTGTTGCAACTGGAGAACATGGCCAACACACTGACCGTCCCCTCTATCAGGTTTAACCTGAGTTCGACAAATTTCGACTGAACCTCATTCGCAGAAATTCCGGGACAAATGAGAAACTGCAAAATATATCAAGATGATAATGAAATTACAAAATCCAGAACAAATGAGAAATTCTAAAGTATCTCAAGAAGAGAATGAAATTACAATTACAACATCCGGAACAAAATTACAACATCCGGAACAAATGAAAACCTCCAAAATATCACAAGATGATAATGAAATGACAAAATCCGGAACAAGTGAGAAATTCCAACATATCTCAAGATGATAATGAACTTACCAAATCCGGAACAAATGAAAAGTTCCAAAATATCTCAAGATGAGAATGAAATGACAAAATCCAGAACAAATGAGAAATTCCAAAATATATCAAGATGATAATGAAATCACAAAATCTGGAACAAATCAGACATTCTAAAGTATCTCAAGATGATCATGAAATTACAATTACAACGTCCGGAACAATTGAGAAATTCCAAAGTATCAAAAGATGAAAATGAAATTACAACATCCGGAACAAATCAAAAACTCCAAAATATCACAAGATGGAAATGGAATGACAAAATCCGAAACAAGTGAGAAATTCCAACATATCTCAAGATGAGAATGAAATGACAAATTCCGGAACAAAACAGAAATTCCAAAATATATCTCAAGATGATAATGAAATTACAAATTCCAAAACAAATGAGAATGAATTGTAAAATATCTCAATATATAATGAAATTACAAAATCCAGAACAAATGGCAAATTCTAAAGTATCTCAAAATGATAATGAAATTACAATTACAACATCCGGAACAAATGAGAAATTCCAGAGTATCTCAAGATGAAAATGAAATTACAACATCTGGAACAAATGAAAACTCCAAAATATCACAAGATGATAATGAAATTACAAAATCCGGAACAAATGATAGTGAATGGCAAAACATGGTACCCAACATGGCGCCCTGGGACACAAAGACCAAAACCCGCGTGATTTTTCGGCCACACGCACATGAGAATGAATGAGCAAAAAGTCTCAAGATGATATTGAAACTACCAAATCCGAAACTTGAATGAGAAAGTTCCAAAATATCAAGATGATAGTCGGACTCCAAAATCCGGAACAAATGAGAAATTCCAAAATATATCTCAAGATGATATTGAATTCACAAAAAACGGAACTTAAATGAGGATGAATGGCAAAAAATATCTCCAGGAACCCAAAATTTGGCGCCCCGTCCTCCGCCACGATGATGGAGCCCCCGCAGCTGCTGTCACTGGCCCAGGGATCCGCCCCCGCCGCCCGGCGCGCAAAGGGCGAGGCGTGGCTCTTCCGTCCTGGACGCGGGACGCGGCGCAGGATGGGGCGGGCATAGCTTTAGCATAGGTGTCCTTTTAGGGGAAATAGATGGCTTTCCCTAGTAGATAATTAAACCAGGTACACCAGAGAAACCCATCTATTTTTCGAGCAAAACAACCAAAAAGGACACCTATGAGCTTTAGGGGGCATAAAACCGCATGAAACCAAATGGCTGTGGCTCAAAAAACCGGTACCAAAATGGCACCTTGGTAAATGGAACCAAAAACTCAAACAGTGACTAAAACCTGCGTAACCCCAGCTGTTGAATTTTGAGCCACAGCCAAATGAATGAAGTTCCCTTCCAAATGGAAACCATGGTGAAACAAGGGTGAACCCACCAGTCCAAAGCGTCCTTTCCGGCTTTCTTTTTCTGAGGCCGAAGCCTTGTGGGAACGCCGGAAAACATCGCCTGTTTCTCCAACTGGGGGCCCACCTCATCTCAAAGCTGACAAAGGTAATGTTGTCAGATTCTTCTATCAAACGGTCTGAGCCTTGATGGGCGAGCTTGCTGACACCAAATGGTTGGTCCATTGATATCCCCCTGACATGGAGTTCTGTTCTGGCTGTCTGAATGTAGTGCAGCACGCATTCAGTGCCTCAAACTACAGCGACGATTTCAGGCTCAGGCGGCTTCATTTTGTTCAGTGCGATGCTTTCCGGAGATGGCTCTGAACATCTTCAGAGTCCATGTGGCGGCAAGCACTTGACGGGCTTCGGAGATTCTGCCGACCTGCTCAAGCAGTGAAGCCCTACAAACAAGCATACCTGACCAAAGTTGACCCAAACACCCGCAAATCAAAGATTGCAACAGTGTCCGATGACAGCTGAAAGCATGACCCGCTTCTCACATGTGTCATCGCCAGTCCTCCCGCATCTTGCTTCACCTCAAGGCACGGCCGCGTGTCAAAGGGCCGGCTTTGGAGAACCGATCAGCAAGTGATGCTCTCCCACAGGATGCAACATGCGCTGAGCCCCAAACAGCGAGCCACCACTCTGCTGTGGGCTTGTAGCTGGCTTCTATAAAGATGCTGCCCCAAAACGGCCAGACGCCGGAGCTAAGAAAAACAACTTTTGGCCATGCCACTGAAGGATTCTATAAATCGCCGAGGCAGCCGAAACGTCCCCAGCCTCAGCAGCCTCAGCAGCCTCAGCAGCCCCAGCAGCCCCAGCAGCCTGGGCGTCGTCCTCGGGAACCTCTTCGGCTGTTGGCTTCGGAGGCTCCTTGGGCTCCGCCTGCACTCAGCAAGGATTGCACTCAGAGAAAACTCCGGCCCTGGAGTTTTCTGCGGCTCCCGGCCTCCCGCAGAAAGCTCGCCTTGCAGAAAAGCCCATGCTTGTCCTTGCAGCTGAAGTAGCGATGACCCTTCCTGGGTGCGCTGAAAAGAAGTCAGCAGGCCGAACTGCAAATGCTGAGTGTGGTCGTTGTTGCACCAAGCTAGAGTATATCCCGGTGGCTCCAAAGCAAGGGGCAGGTTTGCGCTTCCATGGAAATCCAAAACCTGGCTATGGGCCTGCAACTTCCCAGGCCCCGGATCCCAGACCAAAGGCCATGGCAGCAGCCGGTGGCTTTTTCAGCGGTTGACTTCAAAGGGGGAAGTCTCCAAGAAATTTAGGGGAAGGCATTGCATCATGGGCGTGTTTCAACATGGATGTCGGTTTTCCTGGTGGCTTCTCTTTGAACAACCATCCCAAAAAGGGCACCCAATTAAAAAGCGCGGCGAAGCTAAGCCCCCCCATTTTCTGGACAGAACCTCTCTCCCCCCTTTTGAACGGAACCCGGAGCCCGGAGGCCCCCCACCCCCCTCTTTGTCAACGAGCCGAAGGTCACGCTGCCGTCGTTCTTGCCCTTGGGCTCAAACAGCTCCACCCCGATCCACTCCCCGGGGGCAAAGTCGGTCTGCCCAATGAAGCGGATGGTGCCCAGCGGCGGGGCCTCGGGTTCGGTGGGGGGCCTGCGGGGGGCGAAGACAAAGATGGGGGGGGAGGGGTCCCTTTTGCGTTTCCCCTTGAAACCAACCTGACAAATTGGGAACCCTCAAAATACCACATAGCCAGAAAGAGGCAAAGGGCGCTTCTGAAAGGGAACCTGAACAGATCTTTGTAATTGCCCCCCCCTTTAACAGATGGGCCCACAAAAAACAAACTGAACAGGGGCTCACAGTGCCCCTTGGTTAATCTGCAAGTTGCAACCTGCTTCGGTCAAAAAGAAATGGCAACAAAATCGGCGAACCTCCTGTGAAAGCTCTGCATGGCCGCTTCCATGAATGTTGCAACGAGGGCGCTCCACATTGTTCATCTGGGAGATACACCTTTCTCTCTCTCTCTCTCTCTCTATATATATATATATACAATATATGTATATATGGTCAGGCCCCATGAACTACCTTTCCTCCTTTCTTCATAAAATGACTGCAAAAAACTGTGTTTTTCCGTAATGTTTAGCTCTCTCGACCATAAAACAAGAGAATTGACAAAACCGTTTTGAAATGCCTTCTTGCAGACATAGTTCAAAATATGAAAATTAGCAAAAACACTGCTTTTTACAGATGCTACCACTACAGGTAGTGAAAAAGCGCCTGTTTTTAACATGATTGAGAAATTTCCAAGCTGTGAACATTATAGTTTTAGACAAAACCAGACATACCCGAGGAAAACAAGAAACTCGAGAAACCAAAAAAACTGAGGAGAATCTTGGGTTTGCCTCACTTTTTGTGTTTGTTGGTTTTAATGTTCCTCGAGTTTTTTGGTTGTTAATGACATATGACAGAACCAAAAAAATTGCATTTGTGGTGCTCCAAGTGGGTGGGCCCAAACAACCAAAAAAAGCCTTCCTTGGTTTTGGCTCTAAAAGCCAAAAAAACTCGAGGAATACCAAAACAAAACAAAAAACAACGAGAAAACCAACAAAAACAAAGAAAATCTGAGGACAATCTTGGGTTTGCCTCGAATTTTTTGTTTTGTTGGTTTTCTCGAGGTTTTTTGTTGTTTTGTTTGCCTCGAGTTTTTCTTTGATTTTTATCAGAAAACCAAAAAACCAGGCCCACCCACTTGGAAAACCAAAACAACATTGGGCTTTTTTGGCTTTCTTCTAAAGCAACCAAGAAAACTCGAGGAAAACCAAAAAGCTAAAAAAAAAACTCGAGAACACCAAAAAAAATGAGGCAAACCCAAAATTATCCTCAGAATTTCGGTTCTTGGTTTTTTGTGTTTCTCGAGGTTTTTTGTTGTTTTGGTTTTCCTCGAGTTTTTTTGCTTTTAGAGCCAAAACCAAAAAAGCCTTGGGCTTTCTTTGCTTTCTGATAAAACACCAAAACAGTTTGAGCCAAACCCAAGATTCTCCTCAGGATACGGAAAGGACATCATACTTAACATCTAAAGCAACATAGACATTTAATTTGTATCATGTCGTTCTTCAGTTCTACTAGACTTCTAATTATATATTTCTTCAATCTCATTAAACATGAGTCACATTTGATTTGTAACTAACATAGTACATCATATTTGAATTATTCCCTTGCTAAGCTCTTTTCATGACAAAAATGCCTTTTTAGGTTATTGAAGATCGAAAGGAATTTCCTTTTACATTATCACTAAAAATGAGAAATGTAATTGAATTGTTTGCTGTTTAAATCAAGTAAAATTCCAATTAGACTTCAATCGTAATCCAATTTAGCAAAAGGATCCTTACAAGGACCCTTGAAGGAAGCTTGTAAGGAGCTTTAGCAGGAACTGTCTAAGGAGCCTTCTAAGCAGCTTTTCAAGGAGCTTTATGAGGAGCTTTCTAAGGAGCTTTAAAAGGAGCCTTATAAGGATCCTTATAAGCAGCTTTTCAAGGAGCCTCTTAGAACGTCAGCCCTTGTTGGCCAACTCAGTTTGTCATTGGTGGAGCGACTGGCTGTGATACCATACGCTTTGCCCATTAAGCTGATCGGCCGCAGCAGCGATTGTTTCTTGTCAGCCTGTACCAAGAGGGAAGCTCCCCAGGCTGCGAGACCGTGCAGGCCTGGAAGGCCCCAAAGCATGCCACAGAGCAACAATGCCATCTTTCTGGCACGACCTCGTGATGCTTGGTGCTACAAGGCAATGGTGCATTCGTCTTGGCACAGCTTAATAACCTACCCAAGAGGACCCCCCAGTTGGATAAAATCCCCTCAACCGACCAATTCACATAATATTTTTTCATCAATTCATAACAGAACCTCAACTCAAGATTTGCTACATAAATTTTGTAAATATTTTTCTAAATTCCCAAAATATATTTTTCCAAAATCCCAAATTCCCAAAATATATTTTTCCAAATTCCCAAAATATAAAATCCCCATAATTTTCAAACATAAATCTTACAATGTTTTTTATTGTAAGGTTTATGGGATGTCCCTCTTTTAGGGTTAACTGCCTGTCCGTCCGCGCTACGACTTCTTCGTGGACATCTTTGCTATGTGCGCCCATGTGCTGGGGGGTGGTGAAAATTGCTCTGAATGTTGCAGAATGTTCAACCTGAGCTTGATGAGTTTTGAGCTGAATATCATGCTTGAACGGAGCACTTTTTGGCACAGGAGGTTTTTGCTCTCACTGAGCATTTTCCTTACCAGCAATGGCTGTTCGTGTGAAAGTGGATATGTATTCCATCATGAATGCCACTCTTGCAATGAACCTGCAAGATGTGGTGAAGGATGCAAAAGAGTTGCTGGAACAAGCAACGGGAATAGACCATAAAACCATGGTCTTGAAATATGGCAAGCACAAGGGGGTGATGGCCACACTGGAGGATGAGGAACAGTTTAGCGAGCTGGGGTGCTTCCTCAACCCCTTCACTGGCAACTATACCATCAACATCATGCTTGCGAGCCCTACCGTAGAGGCTTTGAAGGTTGTCAATCAGCTCAAGGCTCTTCAGGATGAGGTGGCGTTCAACGGCATGAATAAGATGGAGAAGGACGGCTTGACCATTACCTACCGTGGAATTTCTTTGACATGCCAAGGCGCTGAGCTTGATGACACAGCACCGGAAGAGCCCTCGTCATCCGCCCCAGCTTCTGCCCCTACACCTGTTGAGAAGAAGCCCGCCTCTTCGTCTACTGCCAGACCTGCAGACCTTCAGGGTATGAAGCGGATGATGAAAGAGCTTCATGCAGAAAATGCTGAGATGAGCTACCGCATCAAGAGGAACACTAAGGACCTCCGTGAGCTCTTGAAGAAGTGCCGAGACATGGAGATTGACATTGTGTTGTTGCGACCTTCTGGTGAGAAGTTCGCTGTCAAAGGTTGCCCTTCATACTCAGTGTCCAAGTTCAAGCATCACTTGCATACTGAGTATGGCTTCCGCTACCCCCACCAGCGCCTCATCCGGAACAACGCAGATGGCATGGCTGTTGAGCTCCAGAACACCCGCAAGCTCTTCAGCTACGGGGTGGAGAACGATGGCGACCAGATATACTTTGTGATGACCGGCGGTGAGGTTGTTGCCACCCCTCAGACGCCAGCTGTTGAGGTGTCATCTTCGTCAGAAGAGGATGAGATTGTGGGAACTCCTCCTATGTCAGATGATGATGCTGTCCAACTGCCTCGGCCGGGAGATTGCGACATGAGCCTTGTGTCCATCAAGGACTACGCAAGCAAGAGCGTGATGTTTCACGGCGGGATTGACCACAGAATGGACTTGAAAGGACTACTTGACTTCGTGATGGTGTTTGAAAGCATTGAAGATGAGCAGAAAGATCAGCTTGTTTTCAGCGACGGCCGTGGCAGTCCATACTCATGGTCGTTGACTGTGCAACAGTGCATGGGCACCGCTGGCTTTGACGGCTTCTACCTGAAGGTTCGCGGGTTGAGTGGTGGAGCTCTTGTCCGTGGTCATCTTTCCAAGCAACAGATGCTTGACAGGTTCAAGAAGAAGAGCCGAGACTTTGTCAAGCAGTTGAAGGTCATTGAGGATGAGGACGGTGAGGCAACCTACGATGCCTCCATTGTGCCACAGTTCATCCACGATTTCATGGAAGAGAAGCGCCAGCAGATTGCCAATGCTTCCTTCATGGCCTCCAAGGCCGTTGCCCAATCATAATGGCGCTGAAATCTACTCCAGATGACAAGTTGCTGGCAGTTGAGGCTCTCATGAAACAGAGGGTGAGAGGAAAAGATGTCAGCGAACTCAGGGTGCTAAAGTCCATCAACCTCATGTTCCCAACAATGACGACCATTGAGCAGACCAAGTTGGGGCTCACCCTCCTCCAGAAGGAATTGGTCACAACCCTTCTCATGATGTATGCCACTCGCTACAATGAAGAACGTGCGGGAGAGTTGCGCTATTACCACGCTGGCTTTTTGAAGGACTTGGGTGAAGAGTTGGTCAAGCGCAAAGTTCGTCCCATGACTGAGTCTGAGCGTGGCTGTGTTCTGTCTTGAGCCACTGACATGTGGCATTTTCACTACTGGAGGAGGAAATGACCTGCCCACCATTTGGGAAGCACCCTGCTTACCTGCCCACCATTTGGGAAGCACCCTGCTTACCTGCCCACCATTTGGGAAGCACCCTGCTTACCTGCCCACCATTTGGGAAGCACCCTGCTTACCTGCCCACCATTTGGGAAGCACCCTGACCGACATTTGGGAAGCACCCTGGACATGATTTTTCCTCCTCGTTAGCCTTGCCAAGGGGCTCATTTCAGTGCCAGACAGCGCATTGGATGGGGCACATGCTTTGTGTAGCATCTTTCAGCTCAGCTTGAAAAATGTAGTGTTTCAGCATTTGCTGGGTGGGGGATTGAGGCAGGTTAGGTTGAAGGCAGGTGTGGTGTAGGTCTGACAGAAACCACCCTCCCTCATTTTTTTTTACCCCATCCCCATTTTGGTTAGTGCTCGCATCTGTCCGCCCCGCAGGTATCTTCTTTCTGGACTATGTCTTCTGGTCGGGCACCTGTCCGGAACCCGTCGCTT